ATTTTCCTAGGTAAACGTTTAGTAGATTTAGATGGCAATATTTCCCTGTGTTGGGTGTTTGGATCGTGTTTTGTATTGCAATGAGTGAAGCACTAATATTCAGTTCGAAAAGGCTTACTAATAAGTCATGCAAATGTGAAACGAGATAAAAAGAAAATAATGTACGTTTTAAATTAGAATTTTGCGATGTATTGTCATTAGGTGATTAGAGAAAACTACTGTAATGTTCGTGCGTTTAAGAACATTTGATCTGGCAACAACTGTTGTCTTGATGGCCTTGGAAACGTGAAAACAATGAAAATCAAGTCACGCTTACGCAGGTATTTGGTTCGCTCGGTATAGGAACTCCTGTGTGTAACAATATATAGTCTAACGTTCAACATATAAAGGGTTTAAATGGATGTATTTTGGTATGGAGAGAGTTTCCTATTGTTCTATTCCCCACCAAAAACATATTAGTATAAAGTTCTTCCAAATAGGCACACCTTATACTTACTCCCTCATCAACTGCACATCGAAAGTTTGAATCACAGTTTTGCATCACAACGTTAAAGCAATGCTAATAAATTTCAAGCGTCTTGTGTGTGTGTGTGTGTGTGTGTGTGTGTGTGTGTGTGTGTGCGTGTGAGAGAGAGAGAGAGAGAAAGAGAGATGCGAAGTTTACCCATAGCAGTTTCCATATATTCGCGTCATCTCCATGTCCATTTCTTTAAAACCCTGAAAAATGTAAAGAAATAGTAACTAATTAAAGAAAATCAATTATTGCAATTTAAAGTGATAAAGAATGCTCTTTGTTTAGCCTGTCCTGCAAATTCAAAATCCATTTCTCTATGAGAATACAAATAAAGTTTTGCCATAAAATGAGCAAGATAAACGTGACGTTAAATTTTTAACAGGTATTAAGATTACATGGGTTTCCACAAGGACTATTTTAATTATCAAGAATCCTCGCTCAAGAGTTTGAATCCATGTTTCTATGTCTACTGGTTAAAGTCCTAGGCTATTTAGAATGCAACTCATTTCATCATGGGATCTTCAATTAAAATGAGGTATTTTACATCTTGCTTGATACGGATTGATAAATTTGACCAACCTACTTATCTAACGAGGCCGATTAAAACTCGGCCTTTAAATCTTCGCGTAATTCATCAAGGACGCTAACTCTTAAAATTGGACAAAATTTGCAAATTTTCTCAGTTTTGGATTTATTTGATAATTTATTGGGATTAAAGTTACCTAATTAATCAAAGATGTGAATGCTTTTAGACTACATAAAACAATAAGTAGCGTATTGCTTTAAGTATCTGTACTTGAAAGAAAGTTGACCAAACAAAAAACAAGAACAAACAGAAAAACTAAAACAAATAATCATGTCACTTGTCAGCTCGTTCAAAAGTAACAAAATAACAGAGAGAAGACAACAAACTTTGTAAGTTTTAACAAAAATAATTTATTTCCCCCGAAAACACGGTGAAAATGTGAAATAGGACTTACGGTTTGTGAAGAAAATCCAAACATTTGTCCTAATACTGAAAAAATACAAGTCCTATCACTACATAATTTAACTGAATCCAGGTTCGACTCTTGATGACGATCCAAGATGGAGGACGATAACGTCAGATGAAGTCTTTACACAAATGTCAAAAGTTCACGTTGAACGTTTTTACTGTAATATTCAAATCTAGACAGGATTTCAATAAATGCCTTTGTCCTAAACCACTAGTGTAGTTCTCCAGGGGGTAAAAAAAAAATATTATTTAAATAGTAGATGAACTTCTTTAGCTACAAGACACAAATCGAGCTCTACAGATGTAATGAATAACAAACTCTTTCCAGCACAAGAAAACTAATACCGTCTTCCCAAGGTATAAGAACGACTATTTCACAGGGACCAAAGTGTTTTTAAACCGAACAAAGAAGAAAGCGTGATTATTTCATCATATAACAATCGCAGTACACGATGTAATAAGATATGTTAAGATTATGACCATGGCCACAACCATTCGCCTTTCAAAAATATCAGATCCCGTGAACATAATCATCATCATAATAAAATATAATGATACAAAAATGAAATAAAAATAATTTAAATTTTTACCCACAAGTAATGAAACTATATGGTCGTAACACTCATCGCTTGAGATATTGATATAATGAAACTTTTTTTTACATTATTAAGAGAACTGAATGCATGAGTGTTATCATGTCATTAATATGTTTATTTCAATTGATCTAATGGAAGCAATAGTCATTATGTCAATACCCCCACCCCACTTGTTTTAAGATGCAGAGTAAGATAAACGTAATGCTACCTTTCTCATTATGTGATGTAAGTGACCCAGGTAAGGAACAGGTGTTGGCCCTGATATTCCCAGCCGCTTGAAATATCGCTGCTTGTGAATGGTGTACCTGTAGCAAAATTAAAAAGAAATTATGACAAAAACTATATCATTTGTTTCCTTCTATTCTTTTTCAATGTGTGTGTTAATTAGTTGATTAAATTTTAAAGCGATAACAGATTTTTAAATGGTAAAATGTTCTGAAGTCACTCAAACTATAACTAGTAAGATGGTTACTAACCATCACTAGATTTTATAGTACAGTTATTCACTTTTCTCATCCATCCGACCACAGGAGTCTGCAGTTTTATCAATAAAGCACGACGAAATTTCTGACACCATGAAATCACCTTAGCGGTATTATAAATTAACACAAGGAATGCAGCGGTGACCACAACCCCCCGCTCGATTAGACTATTCTCACACGTCTTTTATCACTTCAGAATCGTAAGAAGACTGAAAAACTACACATATCCATTCGAAAAACTGTAACGTACCAAAGCATCACTCTCAGACGACATCGCAAGAACCCAATCCGGCGAATTAACCTTTATTTTCACCATTACGGTAATAAATCCTGAACAGCACGGTCGGTATAAAGCTCTTTCCTGGGTTATCCAGGGATTTTACTCCACCAAATAATCTGGCCGCCATGTATAGTCAGTCATGTGCTAAAAAATGGCATTCAACCCATAACACCACCCCAACCCACCCACCCACCCCAAAAAACTTCCCTTAAAAACTGAAGAAAAAAAACAGCATAGCAGTGCTTACGTCAAAAATATGATGGCAAGGTGAACAAACAAGTCTAGACTGCATAAGTGCTGTTCGCGTGGAGAGGTACTGTTAGTGCATATTTCAAACTTAACGATGAGCAAACAGACCCTGCAGTATGTTGACACTTTTATGTTCTATACTATTTTGACAGAATCATTTCAGGTAGCAAACCACTACAGATTAAATAAGTTTCGATCAGCTCATTCTAGCATACTGCCACCATTAGCTTTAACATTTATTCAAACCTTATATTCATGAACGTTTCTTTTGTTGAATCGTAAAACTGCAAAGTAATATGCTGTGTTTCGTATATTTAATTTGTATTGCTCGTTGGCCTTTTTCAAAAACAATATGGTATGTATATCTTTTTTTGCAACTGAACTTAGTCCAAATTATGGTTTAGTATGTTGTGTTGTCGTTTGGCTTTACAATAATTTGTTTCAAGGAAACTCTAACATTATTAACATATGTTAGCGATACATGCATACTGGTTATTTACAGGTGAATTAATATATTTGGTTTTTCAAGTTTTGGATTGAGCAAGCTTAGATTTGGCTCCACAACATTAATGACCAGAATGATTGGTAAAATCAGGAAAACTATGCTGATGATGACATTAAATTTAAAATAATCCTAAATACATTTCATAATATATTTTGTTTCTTCAGTAATTCATGTTCAAAGTATTTGATATCCACATCTAACCCAGTATCGCTTATGTATGTTCTCATTTACAAAGAGTCTGTTCATGCTTTCTTCTAATTTGTCAATCTATCTCCTTCAAAATATTTAATTCGTTTCAAAACAAATTGTATGTTTTCTGTCTTCAAGTTTGTTATCTGCATTGACTAAACATACCTCAGTATCACTGTGCCTCAAGCTGTTGTAGTTTAGTTTCCGTTGTGTTTTTCACGTGTTAATGTGCATCTCTTGTTGTAATTAGTAGTGTTAATTCTTCAGTGTATTCTATGTTAATTGTATGTCTTCCATTAAATTTCTTAAACTCCATATATCCTAAGATATGTAACAGCATATTGGACGTTGTTAAGGTATTATTTACACACATGACCTTAGATGTGTGAGGGCAATATGAGCGTTGTTTAGACACTACATACGAGCTAGTTAAATAAGATCTAATTGTAAAACATATCGATATTTCATTTACTAATTACCGAATAAAAGTATTGGAAGTAACATATTTTTTCATTTGCTGTAAATCTGATTTGTAAATGGCAATAACGGTACAAAACAGTTTGAACCTAATAGATAGTTACTAGAAAAAGCACAAATTACATGGTATATAATTGAGACATATATGCGAGAGAAATATCGATTGAAAAAATTATTATAGAATAATAAATAAATATTTCAGGACTGTTGAGGATACTGGTGTGAAGTTTTGTCTCACTAGACTACTATAGGATATGTTACAAAATTGAAAGCAGAAATAACTATGCTTGAAAACGAATTTCAGAATTTGAGAAATGGAATGATATGTGGTTGTAATACAAAGATTGTGTATGTAAAGCATGTAAGGATGTAAACCAAAAATATAGTGCTAACGATTTTTAAAAGCTACTACATGTATTTGAACGTGAAAGAGTGGTACATATTCGTTATGTGAGTCAACATTATCAAAAGTGTGTGTGTGTGGTTTGGATTTTTAACATTACCTTAACAATTTTCTGTCATATCGCTACGATATCTGTAGTGTGACAGTTTATAGTGATATCTATCACTGGGGCTTCATGACATAGACATATATCATGATTTCGCTCCCAATCACATTATCTAGACACCAGGCCAACCGGTCCTAACACTAGCCTCTTAATGACGAGAGTCTCGCGAGGCAGAAGTTAGTACCATTTTTAGAAGTCTTTGGTATGACTCAACTGGGGATCGAACCCGCGACCTCCGCACCCGAGGCGGACGCTCTAACCACTAGTATACCGGAGCGGTTACAATCAAAATTTAAAGGTCTTTGTTTACTAATTGAGAATATGAAGCAAAAAGTATTTGATTCTAGCAGAAATATCGACTAATTTCTTGCCATTTAAAAATCAGGGTTTTTCACCTATGGTAAATAGGAAACAATCACTAAATGAATTTGACCAACAAATGATGCGTGAACTAATATAGCTATTCTTTATGAAAAACAATAGTTGAAAAGGCAATAGAAGTTTAGTAAAAATGATAAGCACATGGCGTGAGAAGTTTAATTTATAAATTCATAAAGTGTAACCATAACAAAACAGAACATCAAAATTAAGCAACATGGCGATAATAATAAAATAAGGAAGAGTTAAATGTATTGCTCCACGTCATTTACAATGTTGGCGACAAATCCGGATGACAATAATCTCTTTACGATATCTTTTACACATAAATTGAAAGGAATTAAAGGCGAAAACCTCTGTATATTTTTCAACTATGTTGAACCATACGCCAAGGAAACCCTCTCTTACATGCAAACATGAATAATTTAACTCGGCGTTAGTTCGGTTTGAGCTAAATGTCGAGATAAGTAAAGTGATCTTAAGTGACGAAACGCCGGTCGAGGAATTTTTTTTTAAAAAACCTAATTTTATAAATCATGAATAGAATAAACATGGATGTAGTATTAAATACATTGTTTTATGATTTAGCAACTCATTTCGAGCAAACAATACAAATGAGCTTTCGATAACTCGAAGCTTTCTGACCGAAATTTGACACGTATGAAACATTAACCGGTAGTTCTTACAGAGATCTGTCTGATTGGGTAAAGAATATATAAGACTTGTATCAGTGGGGAAAAACAACGACAATAAAAAATTCGTATATACAATCTAATCAGTTAAAAACACCCAATCTAGGGACCAGCCAAGGTCAACCAAATATATTATTAACAAGTACAAGTACATAGCCATAATGATAGTGAAAAATATCACTTTCTTCCTCAAAGCTGTTGATGCAGACCTTTTATGCAAAATATTACTGCTTTTGTTGAACAATGTTTCTTTATGATCCGGTGCAATTGTTCTGGTGAAAGAAGTAATAAGTACTCTTAACCATTGTTGCTGACCAGTGGTACTCGTTTTTGTCCGTAAACAAGAAAAAACGGAAACTAACGACAACACCGTCTCTCATTCTACCCATTAACACATCATGACTACCTTGCGCGGAGAATAGACTACAATCGATTCTGATTGGTGGATATTGTTTGTTCTAGTTGAGAGTATATATACACAAACCTAATCCTGTCCTATAACAACCTTACCAGGTGTATCTGTAAGATAGTTGCAAATATCGGGCCATGTCACTTTAGGCCATTTTCTTGGTTTATTTACCCAATATCTGTTGGTAATTTTAATGGCAATCTTTAATTTCAACAACTTTAAGTTTCTGTAAATATCGTGCATTAGTTTCGCTATCCAGCGTCTCTTTGTAACCGTAAGACATTGCAAGAATTACCAACTGATGTTACGATCCTTGCATTTATATTCGTCATTTTATAAATGAAAGGTGTACAATATACAAAATATATACCAAACACATCCATCAAACTGTTTTGACACTAATTGTCGTATACACATGTACGTGAGACGTACACACCACTGGCACCCTTATTAACCTAAAATATATTACGTCTATACAAATATTAGACAGACACACATTCGTGGTTTTATAGTCTGCTTGTACAAAAGACTATGTGGCACTTCTGAACATAAAACAGAAATAATAAACCAAACATAGGAAAACTAAAACGGTTTGCAATATCGAACATAACTAACGCTGCCGTACAATTTACTAGGCCTAAGCAATTGTTGTCACCTTCGCATTAGAGCGGAAATTAGGTCACTAATCTTGTGACGTCATGCCGGCCCACCCAATTACTTCCAATCTAAGCTGAATGCAGCTTCTGCACAACGTGACATACCCAAGTATATGCTCTCCAAACTCGATCCAAATAGATAAGATACGAAGCAACAGAGGAACTTGGAGTAACAGTGACCATCAAATGATAAATGAAGTGCTTTAATCGTATATGGGCAAAATATGTTAAATGTCTTCTTTACCGTGATACAATTTGTGAGCAGCTGGAAACTGTCATTGCGAGAAAATTAACAATGATACATGGATGGAATGTGCATGGTCAGATTTCAAACCGTTAGTCATGATATGGTCATTCGCAGTGCTAGAGTGGGTGTTGTCAATAGTTTTCCTAACTGGCATAAAACAGTGTATGTGGTACTCAAACACTAATAATGATTACTTATCTTTAAGCGACATACATCTTTCATACAAGTGACTATTCAATGGATGCACAAAACACTTTGTGGTGTCACAGAATAACAGCAATAAGTACCGAAACACATTTAGCAGAGAGATATTGAGTTTATAGATGTCTCAGCTAGAAGCAGCGTATCTTGACATTGCACGCTCTAGATGATTGTTATATATATATATATATATATATATATATATATATATATATATATATATATATATATATATATTGAATACACGTTTTATAATAAAGATATTAACTCACATCAGTAATAAGGCAATAACCAACAAAATCATTATTAGCCAGCTGGGCACGCTGAACAGCCCTAACACCTCCATCTTCACCGAGTAAGTTTATTTTTATCGATTACAATGCTAATCAGTAGGTTGTTTTTACTGCGCGGTAAGATGTACTTATAAAACCAACATGTGCAGAGAAAGACGGCATACAGTGAGAATCTGAGCTGGTGGTGTGAGATATATGAAGAAAAATCTCTCAGTCTAATACTTAAAAGATCAAACAAACTGATACCCAACGTTTGCATAGAAATGGTGTATGAAAATAAGCAAAAGAATCGGATATGTACATAAAACCTCAATTTGTTGTTTCCTAGGCAAGGAATATTACCAGCTGTGACATAAAATTAAAATGTTTACAAGTTTATATTGAATCTAACAAAATGTGATGTGATATCTGTGAGAATTTTAAGTGTATATATACCCTATGAATATATGGTATGTACAGTAAATGTCAGGTGTACACAAAATATATATGTATATCTTATTTAGATGTGCCATGTTAGCAAATGTCAGGTACGGCATACACAAAATGTCTCACGCTAGTTGCTAACTCTACAGTATCGGTACCAAAAAAATCTAACACATGAAGCGTGAAGTGCCTAGACCTCTTATGTAAAATTTTGTCACGAAGTGATTCTTCTGTCTCGCATGCTTTAACTGAGATATATAAGTCTAATTTTAAATAGCGGAGAAGACATCAGCAATGGTAAAATGTTGTGGCAAGCATCATGGAACACTTGTCATAAAACTGCATAACACAATTAACTGTGAAACCTTCGTTCCCAAAAGGGAAGACTGTGTAATATTTTCTATCGAAACATTATGAGGTGCAAATTATATTTCAATATGTCTTACTTTCATTCCTTTTTGATAATTCACTTTGGCTCGTCTTAGTGCTAATTGTTCGTCTCCTTTCATCCTCCCCTGCATTTTTTTCTCCATCTTCTCTACAGTTATATGACTACCGTCATGTAAAACAGCAAAATGTTGATCCCGCTGGAGAAATTACACTTTTCGTTTTAAAATTGTATAATTTTGACATTTCCAGAGAGCAGATATTATATGGAGTGTACTAAGGTCTGATACCACTTGACAGCTGATATCAGTCGAATATTGTGTACATAGACCAAATGATCAGAGATAAGTGACCACAGGCTATGACCGTTATGCAGCAGCCAAGCAGAATTGAAGTGCACGAAATGATATCGACCTAATACTAAATACCGTCCTGTATAGGGGTCTTTGAATTACCGTAGTGAACAAATAAGCAACTAAAATCAATATATAAGGAAATTTTTGTCTTATGTAATTTAAACAGGAAAAAACACCAACGAAATGTGCGATATTACTGCTATGCTGTGCTTCATTACGATGCTTGGTATTGAGTGCATTGGATTTCGTGTGTTAAAGTATCCGAAGACTTTTTAAAGATACTCAAGACCGGATTTCTGGATAAGTACTCTCATCTTTCAGGGAATCAAGCTGCGCATGTGTGTGTGTTTGTGTGTGTATGCGTGTGTGTTATATTCTAAGAGGATACAAACTTGCATGAACCAAATCTCTGAGCCAGATATAAGGCGCAAAAGGAGTTACATTATTGCATATTCATACCCTTCTGTATGTTGCAATAGCCACTGACTTAAAATTACGTAAATCTTGAGACAAAACTTGTCGAATCAAACCAAAATGTGTGTTTCACCAGTCAAATTAAATCAGCATGCTATTCAATAAGACCAGTTCTATCAACAGACGTATTTAATGTTCCCATATGAAGATTTATTAAAACATCGCAAATGCTAAAAGCAGCAGCACATGTTGGATCTACATAAACTATTTATTTTCATCTTCCTCTAAAAATGCTGACTATTTCTTTAATTAATCGGTCATCATTTAACCATTATCTATATCAGGAGTATACATAAGTATACCAAGAGAGTCAGCCTTGTCATATATATATATATATATATATATATATATATATATATATATATATATATATATATATACATTTGTTATGTAACGTTTGGTTTATGGCTGTATCTATTTTGTGTGTTTCACTTTTGACATGTAGATTACACGTAGGGTCTATAAATAGGTGTTTTTTAGCTTGTAATAATAAACATGTTTTCAAGATTGTAGTTTTTTATGGTTGGCTAGTTAAGGTGATTGAGTACTGCGACATATGTCATGTGATTAGGAAATGGTAAATGTTCCACTGAGTAGGAATGATGGCAGACCAATAATTTAGGGATCTGGAAACCATTCATAACATTCTATTGTTTTGGACTTGTGTATAACTTCGTAGGATTATTTTGGACTTAATTCATAATACTGTAAGTTCCTCTTAAATTTTAATTCTATAACTGATAATTAAATTATTTGTTAAGTTTTACAAAA